AAGCCAGGAGATTCTTTAAAAAGTATAGCGTTCATGAGGTTGCCAAAAAATGGCAACGGTTTTATCTCGAAAACGCCTCGTTTTATCCAGTAGTTGAATTTGCGAGTCATATAAAGATATGCGGCCAGCACGAGTGTTATTAAAATCATTAGACTATCTAAAGTCCAATAACTCGTTATCATCGCCATTTTGATGATTATCTATAAAAAAAGCCTGTTTTTGAATGCATTTAAAGATGCAAAATACTAGCATCTTGATAACATAAAGCATGTGATGTGAGCCAATTTTTAATGACATAATTTGAAAGTATCTTTAATTAATTTTATTATTAGACAGATTGTTGTATAAAATTGTATTTTTTTTAAAGATATCTTATATAAAATATAACTTGCATTTATTCGACGTACCTGTCTCTCCTTTAAAACAACAAGGAACGCGTTGAAAACAGGTTGAAAGTGCTTCGTGCAAAATTCACATATGCTGTTATACACTCATGTTGTTAACATTTTCTAATATAGATGTCGTTTACGTAGAATTTATTTAAAGCGATTTATTTAAAGTCGTTGGTGAAATTGCCAAAAGTTACACCTGAAAAATTAAAAAGTTAAAAACTTTTGAGACGACAATAAAAACAAACAAAGAATAAGGCAAATAAGAGCTAACCACTGATTATAATGGCGAAATTCTCAATTTAACAAAAGCCAATGCATTGATTTGTATTTACAAAAAATTCAGACGTTTTGGTCCAAGTTTCGGACTCTCTTCAGTGATACAATGTATACAGTGATGAATGTAATACAATAAACGTAATTTCAATCAACATCGCTTAAGTCGCATTGAAAAGCTTATGAACCACACTTATGAATTATACAAACATTTCAACAAATCATGTTTGTTGAGTCTGGTAATTTGACTGTCGGGCCACGTCAATCTGTTAGATTTAATTTTACATTCGCTTTACATGGTTTGGATTATTATTTATACACGTTATTTATTTATATTGTTATTTTTTACGTGCTTGCATCTCAAGTATTTCACTCCTAAGAATAAGCCTCATAGAACTTGTCTTACCATTTCTTACTCACGAGCATTACATCGTTGCAATTATGCAGTTAGGAGGATGATGTTCAAAGATGTGTTAATGAGAAAATGTTGACCCAGATAGCGCAGAGATGAATAGAAGATCATAGAGAATTCTCACAGATAGTTGGCTATCTGTGTTAATTTAATTAAATCTTAAATGGTAAGGTGGATTTTTTCTTTTTTAAATACTCTTTTACTATTACTCAAAGTTTATAGTCTTTTATGACTTTGTTTATTTAATAACAGTTAACAATAAAAAAATGTTTACTATAAAAATTTAAAGATAACGAAATGGAATATATGGAATTTTGTAGACCTCACCTCATTAGAGAAAACTAGAAGTTAAATTAACAATAAAGTATGAAAAATATAATTTTTATTAAAATTAAGTCATTTTATTAAATCATATTATCAAAAAATTATATTATACTGTGTTAAGTATAACACATAAAGATAAAATGTAAGGCGTTCATATCGATTGAAGAAATGATGTAGTGTCTAAGCAACAGACTCATAATCCAAGGATGCCTCATGGTCCAAGTTCGAGTCTCAGTGCCAGTGAAAATTTTTAAATGTGATGTAACATTGGAATCAAAAAAGTAATTAAAATTTTTAAATAAAATCAGCAAACGCTGTGACATTTACAAGTAGTTTATAAAATAGAAACCGAATAAGGATATTCCGACACGTCATTTTTACGTCTCTTTATGACGTTATTTTCACGTTTTATTATTGACGTCGGTAGACTGTGACTTATTCCGGTCATTTCCACGTGATTATTAAATTCATCGTTATCATCATTATTACGTGATTATAAAAGGATAATTGACGTCACGAATGACCAAAAACTGACGTAAAAATCATGTTACGTTGCTGCCTGGGATGTTAAACTTCTATGTTATATATTATATTAACAGTTATATTCTATAATTGCTGAAATCTTTTTATACAAATATTGTATTTGATGATTTTACATGTATATGTTAAAATGTTTTAATGTGTAAGTGTAGATTCAGAAACATACCTAGTTGTTTTACTTGGTGACAAATGCGCACATCATTCTAAAACTTATAAATGGATCTATGAATACAGAATTCGTTTCCCAGAAATTGAGAATTTAGATTAATATCAAAATGAAATAAATCACTAAGAAAGAAATATGTGTAATATGGCGTGTTTTCTTCAATCTTGTAGAACTTGATAATCAAGTTTCATGTTTAGCAATTCACTATCACCGTCGCAAAAGACACTTGTAGACTATTGATAATAGCATTAACACGATTTAATACGCGACACTCACGAACGAGCTATGCGTTCTAAATGACATCAAGTACCGTACATATTCTCCTATTTATGCTTCCGAGATTGCTTTTATATCTTGTCATTCAAGAATAATAAGATTCAACCAGGCATTAGACAATCATGATTCCCTAGTTTAAGAGATTTATTACTGCCCGTAGAAACTAACACATACGTAGATATATTTTTGCAACTGTCGTTATTATGTTACGTTAAAAAATTAATATGACGAAAGGTACATAAAATTATGAATTTATAGAAAAAAAATAATTTCTTTACAAGAAGAAAATTAATTTTTTTAAATGTAAAAACTATGTTTAAATAAATATTTGCTTCTTTTAAAAGTAAATAGAGTACAAGTAAATTATTTTATAAATCTAAATAAATTGTTTTCTAATATTAAAAGTATCTTTTTATATGTTTCAAATTAATATTTCTTTTATTATCAGAAAACAATTTATTTAAATTTACAAAATAATTTATTTGTATTTGTATTTTACTTACTTTTAAAACAAATAAATACTTTTTAAATAGACTTTTTACATATTTCTTAAACATACTTTTTACATTTAAAAGGATCTATATTCTCTTCTTTTAAATAAATAATTTGTTTCCGTATATAGATATATCATATGTATATAATATAAATTTGAGATTTGATTTGACATAAAAAATCTTTGATTCGCACATCTCTAATATATATATATATATATATATATATATATATATATATATATATATATATATATATATATATATATTTTTTTAATGTTCTTTCATCATAATGAAAATTTACATTTTTTAATTCGAACGAATTTCATATATTACAAAGTGGTGTGAAATAAACGTTCTGTTGAGTAACTAGCATCTAATTAATCGGCATATTCAATTTTCGTATGTTCAGATACATTTTACCGCCCATCGGCGTTGTTAAGGGACATCTTGGATCAAGTACTATTGGTATCAGAGTCTTCTCACATGGTGTCACCTCATATCGGCACAATATTTTAAGAATTGACAATTTTGTCTGCAAAAGCCCCAAACGGATGCCTGTGGGATGCATAATAATATATTGTATAAATTCTCATAATGCTTTAATGAATGAAGATAAAAAAAATGAATACTGCATGCTAAAAAAATTGTTGTATTTCCCCCAATTCAAATTACTTAATCTGTAAAAATGGGGATTGTATGATTGTATGATATTTCACTTATATTATACTCAAAACGAATATTATTATAGAAATACTTCGTAATTACATTATGTCCAGTATATTCTGTTGTCATAATTTTACATCTACTCATGCATAATCCATATGTACTGGATTTTAATATTCAATATTTATTAATTCAACATTAATTCAACATTTTATTAGATGACTCCAAAATGTACTCATTATGTATAAATTATGGAATCGTGCGTTAAGGAATATCGATAATGTTATCACCTATACATCTGTGAGGATCTTCTCCAAATGGCATATATATGCAAGACGGTATATTGTTCTTGTTCTTCTCACTGAATCGTTCCGGATCAAATTTTTCAGGATTAGGAAAGTATTCCGGATCATAGTGCAAGCCGAGTAATGATAAAAAAATCGGCGTATCCTTTTCTATAACCAGATTAGAATTTGATATTTAAGTGATGGCTGTATTGCCTCGCGATCCAGAATCGGTAATATTGGAAACATCCTCATGGTTTCAGAGACCACCATGTCGAGATATGGCAGTGACAATACCTGACAATTAACAAAATGTTCTATTTAAAATTACTTCGCAGTAAATATCAAGTAACGATAACATTACATTAGAGCCCATGACTAACCCAGCTGAGATATCATCCAAATGACATATGGAATCCTCTAATATGATAAAAATAACAATTTCGACGGAAAAAAGTTGCAAGAAGAATTTGTTTACGACAAAATTGTTTAAACAACTTATTTAAAAAATTATTTCTTTGAAAATCTGATGCTGCCAATCGATTCCGCTTTGAAAATTATGGCGAAAACATGTATGATGTTCAAAGTCGGACTCCTATTTGTTATAGAAAAAATAATAAACAATTTTGTTATAAACAAATTCTTTTTGCAACTTTTTTCCGCCAAAATTATTATTTTTATCATACTAGATGATTCCATATGTCATTTGGATGATATCCCAGTTGAGTTATTTATGAGTTCTAATGGGTTAATGTTATAATATCCCACTTAACGATATAACTGTTACACATAATATTCGTTATATGTTATTGTTGAATGTCAAATTATAACATTGATACAATTTTACTGTTACTGGATGTTTACTGGGTTATGTTATATTCACATTAAATCACATTAAATTGAAATATAGAAAGTTTTTACAAGGAAATAATTTATAGTAAATATTAATTTGCAATATTAAAATCACTTCTTTTCACTCGCTATTTAAAATATTTGATATGAACCGATCGTAACACATGATATTCATATATACCATGTCGTATGTGATTTTTCCACCAGCTTCGTGAAGTGTGTCGCTTATTTCTTTTCTCACTTTGTCTTGAATTTCAGGATGCATCGCGAGTTCGTACAATGCGAAAGTTATTGTCGTTGAAGTATTGTCGTTGAAGTCTCGAAGCCGCCGATAAAGAAGATTACCGCTTGCGCCACTAGATCGTCCCCATCGAATTCTGAAATTTACACACGAACCACTTTAACTTTCAAAACTATTGCATTATTTAAAGTTAATGCACAATTTTTGCGTAACTACAGTAGATTATTAAAGTAAAGAAGTGATTAAAGTAGATTGTTAAAGGCTCATGCATACAAAGATTACACGCAATCAAAATTTTCCTTTATGGCATGGAAAAATCATTAATATTAATTTTAATATTTTGCTTACGGAAATTTTCAAAATCCTGATTGACATATTTTTTTCTAAATTTGATTGATAGAATATCGATGAAATCACCCCGGTTTTCGCCAGACTCCATGCGTTGGTTGATTGTGTCCCAAAAGACTGCGTAAGAAGACCGTGCATTCTTTCCCGACCGCTGTTACACGGGGTAATCTACATAACTCTGGATAGTAAAACCCTATAAAGAGCTGTATGCCACGAATAATGTTAACATCGAAGATTGTTCTGCCTTGCTTACGAAATTCACACTCTGGATTGTTTACTGAATTAATATTCAGCCCGAAAGTGGTGGTGCCAATCATGTCCGTAGTTAAGTTAGCGAATAAATCTTTTACATCTATCATCTTTTTATTACCTGTTGAAAAATATCCTGAAAGGCTCTTAGATATGCAATCAAAAAACATAAATAATTAGGGTCTATGAGAGCTGAGCGCTGGAAATACGTGCGCATATATTTAAACTTTTAATTATTATTACAAACGAAATAATTATGCATTAGATCTAAAAGATTAAAATGGATTATACTCCTGTAGAGTATTGTAATATGCTTATTATTAGTGCCGGATGTGAACGGTACGCTCGTATAAATGAAAATAAAGTAGTTTTAGAAATGTGTGAAGAAGATATATCTACTAACATACAGGGTGAGTCATTTTAGTCTATGGATCCAAATATCTTCCAAATTACGGTATCTACAAAAAAATGGTTTAGATAAAAGTTGACCAGGACAGAGGGGGTCATTCAATTGTACCATTGGTTTTGACCTTGAGGTCAATTTTGAAGGTTACTTCAAGGTCACGATGGTTTTTTCTAATGGGACACCCTATTTTTGACTGCGGATTTCGAAAGAGCGGAAAATTTTACATCAAACTT